TGAATTTGTCCGACATAACAGACGGAAAACAATATATGTTGTAAATGTGATTAAATAAATATAATAGAGTACATATCATTATAAAAACATTTGTATAATATATTAATATAAATACATAAATACACAATAGATAATTGTTATAAAAAACTTGTTAATATATCAAAAAATGGATGTTATGGTAAGTCTAAAATAATACATTCAGTTGGTTTGAAATTTTAAAACATGTTTAATGAGTTGATGTTAAAAATTAATGAGATTATGTAGAAATTTTCCATCATGGCATTTACTTTTAATTTAAATATTTTGATTGGTTAAATTAAATGATGTATCTCTTAAATTGCTCTTTGGTTGACACCTAGAATTTTTTTTAGTGTATCCTCAATTAATATATAAAGGATATTGCCATATGAAAATATAAATGCACATAATCGGCCAATATATAAATTACCTTAATACTCTTCGATCATATATATTTGAAGCGACTCTCTCTCGGTCAAAACTTCAATTAATAGAAAATGCACATAATTGGTCAATATATAAATTACCTTAATACTCTTCGATCATATATATTTGAAGCGGCCGTCTTCGGGTCAAAACTTTGATTCATAGAAAATGCATTACTCTCTTCAGATATAAGTTTTGCTTCTAAAAATTAAAAAAAGGAAGAGAAGACGAAGACTAAACCGAAAAAAATAAAAGTAAAAGTCGGAGAAGAACAAATAAAGTGCAAAGAAGAAAAATTTAGCGACTTATGTCAAAATAAAACAATTCTAGAAGAAATAGAAAAACCTCTAGCTACTTTCAAGGTAACTCTCTAAATCTTACAAAAATTATCTAACACATTATTTTTCTACACGAGTAAAAGTTTGAAAATTAGCAATCATACATATTTAAGTTTTACTAAATTGACTTATTCGTCTAAAAAATTAACTTATCCGTCTAAAAAATTAATCTTATTATATAAAGGAGAATGCGGCTGATCGTGACATGTGTAATTGTTAACTTAGATTGTGACATGTGTCAATATTAACAAAAATATTTAAAAAGAAAATAAGAAATATATTTTAAACAAGGATTATTGACTAATTAAGAAAAATAAAACAAAAATCGTTCTATTAAACTATGTAATATTTC